GCTGTGCTCTAGAATGGAAGTGTCCTGCCCAAAAGCAAATTAAATGGGGAAGATCCCTTCACTTCCCTTTGCTAATAACAGAGACAGATGTTTCAGCCTGCACAGAAGCAAATAATTTGTTGCTGCAGTCGTGCAACTTGAATTTTGAATTGATCCCTGCCCCACCAAGCGCTGAAGCCTTAGAGACATATGACTGTCTGGGATAGCCGAGATCAGTTTGCAGACGGAGGAAACCGGTCTGGCTTTCAACACGTAACGTTTCTTTTTTGAGAAACGGGTATTACGAATGTCAGATGCTCTGCCTTAACTGAATCTCAAGAGTTTGGCTGGCTTTTGAATTTTTGCAAATTACTCTTCCAGCTCTGAAGGTCATTTAGAAGGCAGGGATGGGAAGCCAGAGGCCTGTGGCTTTTCTGGTGCTTTGAACAGGTCGCTGCTCTTTCCAAATCCCATTCCTCAGTCACTTCTTTGCACGGGGCAGCTTCAGTGCCCAGCAAAGCTCACCTGAGAGTTGAGCCACGGCAGCTTCTGACCATTTACAAACATTGCACCTGGCTGGATCTTCAGATCCCCATTAAACCAGGGCAGACCCTTGGCAAGGGTACAGAACATTTGCCTCTTCATCTGCTTCTCTGCTCGTTGTCCTGCTGAAGTTCTACCAGTGTTCCTGCCCCAGCCGCTGGCCAACCTGCAGTCGCAGGGTGGACATGGATCCTAAAAGAGGAAGAATGCACCTGACATTCAAGGGAGGAAACTAGGCGCTGAGCACAAGGCAATACCACCCTCTTCTCTCCTGCTTCCCCCCAAATGCATTGGGCTAAGATATTCACCATCTTCAGCCAACATAGCTCATGGCGCCAGGGGGCACCCCCCCCACGCATCACAAAAGGGAGCCATTGGTTCAACTGGGGCCCATAAGAATGGGAAAGAAAGGCCACCCTTTGCAGGACTCCCCAATGGCTTTAGAGGAACAATGAGAGCAATCTAGGAAGGAAAAAAAACAAAACAAAACATTTTGTTGTAAGCTGGATCCCTGAAACATTTGCCAGAAAGGATGCCAGGAAAGGAAATTAAACATCGATTACCTTTAAGAAGGGAGCGATTGTTATGTAAACACATTCGGCTTCTTTTTCTCTGGATCCTCTCTAGTTCAGCAGCAGCAGCAGCAGAGAGCAAGACCTTGGGCGCTAAGCTGGGCCAGACTAGGTTAGTCGCTGGATGGGTGGGTTAGGACCTGCTGGTCAGCCTGAGAAATTGAAAAAAATGTACTCAAAAGTGGCACTGTCCATATTGTTGCCAAGAAAATGGCATGGATGTGTCCATGGAATTGAGTTGACTCAAGGACACCATCTGCAATCTTCTTCTACTCCTTTCCCCACTTTAAAAAGTAAAGTTGACTTAACTTCTGCTAGACTCATGGACCCATCCATGCAGTTTCCAATAGTACAAAGTACGTCAGCTTCTCCTGGAATGTTTTTCTTACAGGCTAGGGTTTCCTGTAGCACCCAGATACAAGCTTGCTCAGCTTTTTACCACTGCTGGCAAAGTCAAGATCTTCTGAGTTGGCCTCAGTGCCTGGTAACTACACACACAGCCCAAGTGATTTGTTCCTTGAGTGAGAACTCTGGGTTGATTTGTTCCATGATAAAATTACTTGTTTTCTTGGCTGTCTATGAGTCTCAGGAGTCTTCTCCAGCACCAAAGTTCAAAAACGTCAATACTCTTCCTATCCTGCTTCTTCAAAATCCAATTTTTGCTTCTATAGAGTGTCACAGGGAATACCGTGGCTTGCATGATTCTGATCTTTGTAGGTACTGTGTAGACACATTGCAGTATCTGCATATCTTTCCCAAGGCCTTCATGGCTACTCTTCCAAGTGCTCATTTGTGGCATATTTCTTGACAGCTTGTTCCTTTGCTGTTGATGGTTGATCCTAAAAGGCAGAAGCTTTCCATCACTTTATCTTCATTGCCAATTCTAAGGCTGGTTGTTCTACCTATTGTCATTAATTTGGTCTTCTTTATATTTAATTTTAATCCTATTTTTTCAGTGTTCCTTGACTTGCATTACTAAAGAGTAAGATAACAGCCGTTTAAAAGCAGGAGAGGTAGGGAAAAGGAAAAATGGCTGAAATTAAATGAAGGGGGGGGGGAGCTTTAAAAGGATGCCTAAGAACAAAACTGGCAGTTCTGCTGGAAGGATCTTCTACAACCTTAGTGCCACCACAGAAAAGACCTTGTCTCTTGCATCCACTTGTTTAACTTAATACAGTTCTTACACAAATATTGGGATCTAAAACTACATTGATCTACAACTTCTGACAGATTCCTCTGGGTGAAGATGTTTCTGGAGTAATCTGGTCCTAGACCAGTTAGGACTTGGATGGGCCATTGTTTTGACTGAAAGCCAATGAGGAGCATCTCAAAAGTGGATGAAGGCAAGGCCAATGTTACCTGAGATTGAAATTTTATTCAAAGGTTAAAGAAACAGTTAACCTTGAAGACCACTTTGAAGCTGCCCTTGAAGACCACCCAGAAGCTTCAACTGGTCCAGAATTTGATGACGCAAGCCTCAGTAGGCCCATGTAACACCTCTGCTTTGCAAGCTGCACTGGTTGCTGGTTTGCTTCCAGGTGTGATTCAAGGTGCTGGTCACTACCTTTAAAGCCCTACATGGCACAGGGCCTGGTCACTTGAGGGACCACCTGTCTCCCATAGCATCTGCCTGGCCAATTCAATCCTGCAGGGTTGGCGCACTCCGGCTTCCTTTGATTAAGCAATGTCGTCTATCGGGAGTCTGGAAGCGCATCTTCTCTGTGGCAGCACCTGCCCTCTGGGCTGAGGTTACCCCCAAGATCTGGACAGCCTCCCCTCTGCTGTTGTTTAGAAGAGCCGTGAAAACCTGGCTATCCACCCGGGCCTTTGGCGAGGGGGAGAGAGACCCCTTGCTTCATTGTGCTGGCCATCTTCTATCTTTATTGATCTGATTGTAATTTGCTGATTGTTCTGAGCTGCCCAGAGTCATGCAGCATGCCAATTTAATATATTATGATTAATAATATTAATACGACTGCTCTCTGGGAAGGTAACCATGTTCCTCATTCACTTTAAAAGTTAAAATTTGGAAGAAACTTCAGGAAACGCCGGTGTGGTGGGGATTTGTGGCCTTCACCATGCTCATCTCTGATTTAGTGCTTTAAAATGAAGTCTGTTAAACAAGGGCCAAAGCAGCAACGAAGTCGCCCATCCGTTCAAGATGGATGAAGACCTGGGGGAGAAGTTCCCATCTTTAGGCCTCAATAGTTAACCTTGCAGCTGTGTTGAGCGTCTCAACAGCCTTCCCCTTTTTCAGATGCAACCATCAAAGCAATAATTATCCAACACATTTGGAGAACACCAGGCTGGAAAAAGGCTGGGTTGGTGGAGGGGTGGGGGAAGGAAAGTTAAACCGGTTAAATTTAAAGAAAGTTAAAGGTAGCAGTTTCAGAAATTACAGGATAGAAAATAGGGGAATTCCCGCAGCCTGGGCTGTAATCACGCTCCCGTCCAAACGCATTTAAAGCATGAAGCCTGCTGTTTCAAGACTGATTGATTGATGACGTGCCATGAAGTCAGTGTTGACTGCTAGCAACCCCAAGGACAGATTTTCTCCAGGGTGATCTGTCTCTAACAAGGAGGACCAGTAGAAATGCGATGCTGAATAAACAGGGTGATCTTTTGAAGCATCAACTTAAGTAATTGTAAATCAGTCTAATGCAGTGTAAATTAGTCTAGCACAGTGTTTCTCAACCTTAGCAACTTTAAGATGCTGGCTGGGGAATTCTGGGAGTTGAAGTC